TGCTTCGGCGGAGTTGCTTTCCCGAGGGGAGGGCGCCGAGAGAAAAGCCCGCGCGCTGAGCTGGCCCCGCCTGCGGCACCCTGCCTTGCCCTGAAGGGCTCCCGGGTCACCTCTCGCTGCTTTGCTTTGCTTTCCTCAGGTGAGGGAACGGACTGCCTGCTGCCCTCCCGACGCGGCAGACCCTGACCGCCGGCTGCGGCCAATCAGAGAGGGCTCTCCGCCGCCGCCGCCGCTGCTGCTGCTGCTGCTCCCACTTGCTGCGGGTCGCCTTTCCTCGCCTGGAGGGAAGAAGCGGAGGGAGGACGAGCCAGCAGCGGCTCCCGGGAGAGCGCTTTCCTCAGGCGTTCTCGGAGGGGAGGAAAAGAAAAGTGGTTCGAGGCTCTCCTTTCCTTACCCCTCGTGGGGCGTTTTGCCCACCTAGGAAAAGCGCGCAGAGGAGCGGAGAGGTCTCTGAAGCGCGCCCCCCCCGCCCCCGCCTCGTCCTCGTCCTCCTCGATGAGCTCACAGGCGGGCAAGCTCGGGCAGGAGGTAATGTCGCAGGAAGTGCCCGACCGCCAGGTCTGGAAACCGCAGCCCAACACCTCCAACACCAACACAAGTGACTCGCCTTTTGTGGGGCGGACGGGCTGCCGCTTGGCGTGAGGAGAGCGTCGCTCCTTTGCAGCCGCGTTGCCAAGCGGCTCGGACCAAGCGCTGCTTCCTCGCCTTTCACACCGGCGGGACTCCCCTACCGAAGAGGGCGGAGGGCAGCCGGCCGATTAAGGGATGGCCATTCAGTGCGCCATGAGCGCACTTAATCCTCCCAGGGGGAAAGAACTGCTCCATGCCCTGAAAGAATTTGGACCTTGGTTTTAGTAGACTTGGATGTAGTAACACTTTTAAAGCAGAAATTAGGTGTGCTGGGGGATGATTGTGCGGGGCCTCTAGACCCACCCACATTCGAGTAATGAAATTTGGGGGTAATATGACTATGGGGTCTCTCGAACTTTACATAGTTTGAGGTATCCGCGTGTCGTTTTCCAGGAGAGAAAATCTGCAATTGTTGCTTTTCTGGGCACAGCACTTGTAAACCCACTAGCTTTGGTCGACACAGTTATGCAGTTTTATGCTGTTTCACCTAGAAGTATATTACTTCCAGTCAAGTGTGTCTGGTATGAAAGCCTAAATCAGGCTTGTCCAACCTGTGGTCCCAGGGCCGCATGCAGCCGAGGTCAGCTCATAATGCGGCCCAGTGCTGATTGTGCGGGGCCTCTAGACCCACCCACCCACATTCGAGTAATGAAATTTAGGGGTAATATGACTATGGGGTCTCTCGAACTTTACATAGTTTGAGGTCTCAGCGTGTCTTTTTCCAGCAAGTTCAGCAGTGAGACACCCCATCTGTTCTCCTACTTCAGGCAGCCGAATGTCTTGAGTTGGCTCCAACCTTTAAGGGCTGCACGTTTCAAGATACACTGTCGGCGCTTGTGGCTGGAATGTGCCCGGGGTATGTCATAACAGTAGAGGGGGAGAGAGGGAAGGAAGGAAGGATTGGGAGGGGAGGGGACAGGGGGGCTGCGTGACTGCATTGCGCCATCCCCGTCAATAGGTGGACCCCCTTCCAGCCCCATAAAGCCGCGGGAGTCGAAGCTGACAGCCTCTGCTGTCTGAGATCGCAGTTGCCGGTAAGCGCACTTGGAGTGGGGCTGGGAGGACGGCTAGGGCTGCCCCCCATGTGGCCCAAACCAAATGTATGTGCGGCCCAAACCAAATTTTCATCTTCTAATGTGGCCCAGGGAAGGTGAAAGGTTTAGACACCCCTATGATTTTGACTGTTGGGGAGGGAGGGAGGGAGGGAGGGAGAACTGCCACTTTTCTGGGCACAGCACTTGTAGACCCAGTATCTTTGGTCGACACAGTTACGCAGTTTTATGCTGTTTCGCCCAGAAGTATATTACTCCCACTCAGGTGTGTCTGATATGAAAGCCTAAAGGAAGGAGAATGATCTTGATTGTTGGTAAACTGTATTTATGGGAGGAGATTAATATCATTTTGTCAATTTGATTAGAAGCCCAGAGCTATAGCAGACTGGGTCCTGATGAGACCATTCAACAAAAATGGTGTGTGGATTAAAAAACAAAAGCAGAATTAGCTCTTGTGTGTCTGTTTTCCATGATAAAAACCCTTCTGAAAATTCTGCCCTCTGTGACTATGGCAGCAGCCGCCGTTACTGGTTAATTTTACAACTCTTTGTACCACAGGCATTACCTACAATGTTATGATGCAAACAGCTTTGAGATGGAAGCTCACATTTGCCTGTTGTGGCATCTAGAGACTCACTTGAGAAGCATGTGCTCTAAGAGAGAGACCTGCTTTGTTACTAGCTGTGGAGAGCAGTGGCTCTTTGCCAAGGTCTAAATATAGACCATTTGGAACACTTATCTTTATATCTCAATTTGTGGAGAGTGTCACCATAAAATGTATTGCTCAGTTCCTTCTTCTCAGGGTGTCAACCTTCCAATAAACTTTGTAGCCCTTCTGGATGATGAAGCTGCATTTCCAGGCTCTTTGTCTCTGTTTATCTATCAGCGAAGCTCAGACTCTGGGAGGTTTTTCAGTCAGAAGCTTCTACTCTATAAAAGTCTTCCTAAACCTGGTGCTTTCCAGATGCATCGGGCTGCAAAGCCCATAATCCCCAGACAGTAGCTAGTGCTGGGTATAGTGACATCTGTTGTCCAAAGTAGCTTTTCCAAGCTAATACATTTGAGAGTATCACACCGAGAAAGCCTGGCATACATATTCCCTGCCCCTGCAGTTTAAGCATATGCCAGTCTAACTAGAGCTGAAATAAATTAAGAGGGGGAATTCCAAATCTAATAAATTCCTACGCAAACTAGTGGCGCCAGCTGTCTTACATCATGATCCTCGCCAGATTTGTTTAGATACAGGAACAGTTAATTTCAAAGGGACTTACTTTCTCATAAGTATGCTTAGATCTGGAGCATTAGGGCTGGATTTAGGAGTCATCGCTGCCACATGGAACCTGCTTTTAATGGCTCCATGTGGTCCCAACCTTAGAAATGATGTGTTATTGTTGTTGTTTTGAACTTCAGCTCCCAGAATCTAGCAGACTGGTATACTGGGAGCTCTTGTCCAAAAAGTAACCTTTTCAGACTCTTTGTGGAGAGATGTCACTGGAGGTCTATTCATATTTCTGCATTCTCTTCACTTGATAGAGGGGTGGAGAGTCTCAGGGACATAGCACTTAATAGGATATAAGAGGTCACACAAGACTTACAGTGCTTAATCTATTTCTTAGAATCATGGACATATGCGGTTTTTAAAATCTACCAGGGACCACCCCACTCAGTTAGGGTAGACCACAGGTTCAGAGTACTGGCTTTCACATTCCACACACTCTTCCACACAAAGTGTATGTGCCCTTTTAAGTTCTCCTGCAACTACAAGCTTTACTGGAACTTCTACCATCTAGATGGCAATGCCCCTTATGCTGGTATGAACATGAACTGAAATGACCAGAGTACAGGTTGCTGTCCTCTGAAGATGCCGGCCACAGAGACTGGCAAAACGTCAGGAAGAACAACCTTCAGAACACAGCCAAAGAGCCCGAAAAACCCAGAACAACCATTAGATCCCAGCCGTGAAAGCCTTTGCGAATATAAGTGAACCGAGTGATTTTAAATGAGCATGCGGCTGTTGGCAAAGAGAAACCAGAGTTGGTCATGGCTTTCCTCCCTTCTCAGAAGCAGACAAGCTAGCATAAGGAAGGAGTTTCCCAGCATGCTGGGCTACAGAAACTGAGAGCTAGCTGTACACTGTACCTTGACTAAGCTGTTGTGAGAAAGCAAATTCACCCTAATAAACCCTTGTGTAGACCAAAGCCCATGGCCAGCAAGAGCAGCAGCAGCAAGAACAGGAGAAAAGTGATTCTCAAAAACTTAACAACAGCAGCAAAACAGAAACAAGCCCTGAAAACATGATGGAGGAAGATTAGAGAGACTTCAGTTAGGTTTCTAATTAGTTCAGTAGAATAGAAATCCCAATAATTATCAATGATTCCTAAAACAACAGGAAGAAGTAAATAATGGAAAATAGAGGACTAAGTGCCCTGTGTGTTTAGTTCCCATAAAGGAAAATTTTATCAGCCAGACTGGACCATTGGCAAGTAATGTACCTAAGGATGGTTATAGCCAGGCTAACATTCATAAGCAGTGTGTCCCCTGAGTGGCCTAGAATAGGAACAAGTGGCATCCATGTAACGAGTGGCATCCACAACACTCAGGAATGCCTGTCGGGAGGGACTTAGTGGATAGGGCAATCATGCAGTTCTTTGTTAGATCTTATGCACAAAGTAGAAAGATTCACTGTGATCCCTGGTGTTCCTTCTTGGGCCAGGACAGCATGGCTAAGTCTTCTACCATTGGCTTTATTACTTTGGCAGGCAGGTTAACAGGTGCATCTGGTTTTACTGAAGTGTATTAAACATCACACAGGTTTTCTTCCCTGGCCCCATCTTAAGTCCTTCACCCAAGTCCTTAATAGTTCCCATCTGGAGCTGACTTAAAGTCACTAGCCCTAGTGGCTGAGCCTTTTTTTAATGACAGCTGGTTTGCCCAGGTAGAAACCAGTCCTCCACTTGCAAGCTGCTGCTCCTACTCCAAAGCCAGCTGCACCAGCCACTGGAGTTGGCGGCGTCACTTCCAGAATTGCTAGCTGTAGTACAGAAGGGCATCCAAGCTATTCTCTCAGCCTGTCCCAGCACTGCAGAGTGTGACTCCCAGCCCCAGGTGAACATTGTCTATGCCCCAGTTCAGGGATCTCAAAGAACAAAGGGTTCCTCTCCTGTCTCCTCCCTTAGGGCACAGAATACCATGTAGTTGCTCCTCCAGCACCTTTAGCCAACCCCCCTTTTTTCTTCTTTC